TTCCCCCCCTTTGTGCTCGGTAGCAACGGCGGCGTTTTCGTTGGAATCGGGCACACAAACACAAACGAACGTTTTGATGAAGAAGACAAAAAATACTTGCGTCTCTGCCCTCCCCTCCCTCTCCCTCCCCCCCCTCCCCCCCCCCCCCCCGACCACAATGTTGTGGCGCGCATTAACGAACCATTGTCTGACTTTGCTGTGTCGTGTGCAGGACTTGTCTGCTGAGACCAAGAACTGCATCATTTTCGACACCATCGCCGCTGCGGACAATGCCTGCAGCGATGCCGAGTTCGATGACATCAAGGCAAGTCTGGAGCGCGACTACCCGAGCGCATTCACTGCCAACAAAGCCGGCCTGGACGGCCTGGACATGCTGCTGAGCACCATCATGTCGAACGATGAGTCCGTGAGCATGGACGAGGAGGCCACCTCAAGCCGCACCCCCTCGATCACCGTGGAGTGGCTGCGCGAGGGTTGCTCGGCAACGTCGTCCGTCGCCGACATCCACGCCTCGGCGAGTTGGCTGATCAAGCTCGAGGGCAAGCCGTTTAACGCGCGGGTCATCTTTGACATCATCGCGGGACAGCGGAGCTACAGCTTGGTCGTCTGCCTCGTCAACAACGAGAGTGAGGACACGCCCGAGCACGCCTTTACCTGCCGATCGGGCGTCTGGGCTGCGGCGTTGAGCCCCAACTCGGGCCAGATGATGCCCGGTCAGTTTGAGGCGCCGACGTCGAACGAGCCCGATCCTGATCCCAAGGCCGTCTTCCGCCGCTGCAAGAACTGCAGCAAGTACCGTCTCGTCTCGCAAACCCATGCATTCATGAGAGGTGTCTGCGGCCTGGGCTATGAGAGCCAGTGCTCCGACCCGCCGGTCACCTTTATCGCTGCCCTCTTGCTCTCCAACTCGCCAGCGCTTGCCAGCGCCAACGGCGAGGTGGATGACGACCTGGTGGGACGCGCGCTTGCGCTCGCCAGCGATCGTGCCATCAGCCATGAGCACCTGGAAGCGCTGTCCACGTGGGCCGGCGGCGAGCTCAACAAGCGGCGGCCGGGCCGGAGGAGCCGCAAGGGCCTCCTTCTCCGGCCGAGCAAGTCGGACGATGTAGTCAACGTCATCCTCGACATGGCCAAGCTCTTTGCCATCCCGCACGTCGCCGGTGGCACTTACCTCATCACTGCCCGCAATCTCGGCATCTTTGTCTGCGATAGCCTCGGCCTCGCCAGCAGCAACTTCCGCACGCTCGTCAAGGACACGCTGCAGTGCGCGGTGCCGGCGGCAGGCGGTGCCACACTCTTCCATCTCCTTCAATCAAGCCATGCGTTCGAGGCGGGGAGGAAGCACCTCTACGATAGCGCGTACAACGACATCGGCGGCATCTTTGGCGCCGCCTTTGTTTCGGGAGACACCGCCGAGTCGTCTCAGGACATGCGGCAGGTCCTCACCACCATCGAGTTCGAGTCGGACCGCCGAGCCGAAGATCTCAAGTCAAAGGCCAAGCAGTGGTCAAAGCCCCGATCCGAGACCTACAAGAGCCTGGCGACAAAGCTGGACTTTAGCCAGGCCTTCAACGATCAAGCCGAGTCGTTGATCCTCTTCCACGGCGCCTCGCGTCTCGGCAAGTCGACCACACAGGACGTCCTGCTCGAGACCTCCATGCCTAGCGCCGCCGATTTTCTGTCTCAAGCCAGCAATGGCGCAGCCGCCGCCTTTGTTTCCGCCGGAATGGACAAAGACGACGCGGACGTGGCCTTCAACTTTGACTTTCCCGCCGCCGATGCCGAGCAGCTCTGGTGCGCCAAGAAGGAGAGTCGGAGGCACACCAATCGCGCCGGCTCGGCTCAAGCGCCGTTCATCCTCCCAACCCGCTGCGCCGTCGGCCACACTACCGTCATAGACATCGAGGTCCGCTACGGCCGCTCGTTTGAGGTCGTCGTCGAGATGATGTCCAAGGAGGCGATCTTGGAGCTCATCAGCGTCAACTGCGACGACAACGACTGGCTCAAGAGCTTTGTCGCCAACGTGATGGGCAAGAAGAAGCCCAAGAGCTTCCGGTCCAAGGACAAGGATAGTCTTGCGGCTGTGAACAAGCTCAAGGAGCTCATCAACGAGTCATCGAGCTCATCCTCTCCTGCCGATGCTGTTCTCGACTTTCTTGCCGCTCATGGCGCCGACGTGCGCGGTGCCCTCGACCGGAAGATCATCGTCTCTGCCCCAGCCTCGTCGGAGCCCCACATTGGCCAGGCCATTGTCCGTGCTGTCATCGCCGCCGCAAACCGGACGGACGACCCCAAGGCTGCGCTCGTCGACTCGGATCCAACCTCGCTCTCGTTCGGCTCGTTCGAGCACCTCCTCAGCGCCATGTGCGGGCTGGATGGCAAGCTGCGCAACTCGGTGCTGGCCAACTTTGTCAGCCGTGTCACGGCCTTTCTCCCGGCCTCGATCATCCCCCCGCGCGGCGTGTTGAAGGACACAGCCGGTACCATCTCTGGCAACAGCATCGTCCGGGGTGTCACCGCTTCTGCCCTCAAGTCGGCCGCCTTTGTCGTCATCCTCCTCGCGGACGGCGAGAACATCGTTGACAACGACAACGCCAGCGGCACGCTTGATCCGTTCTTCGCCCATGCCAAGCCATGGCTCGCCATCATTAGAGACATCAAGAACGAGCTCGAGAGCGTGAATGGCGACCGCGATGCTGCCATCTCCAAGCTCACGACCATGGCCACCACCCGCGACGGCTCCACTGTCAACTTTGCGGTGGTCATGCCCATCAAGCCCAGCGACGAGGACGTCATGGTCCTGCACCACAACGATTGCGTCACCAACCTCCGCGAAGGCCTGAACGAGCTGTTCTTCAATCAGCTCCAACTCGTCATCCCAGACTCGCTCAAGGAGCACGGTGAGGTTCCCAACGATCTTGGTGACGCCTTGGAGCTCCTGTCCGAAGCGTTGTCCTCGGAGCGCTGCCTCTCTGTCTCACGCCTCGCCACCATCAAGTACTCGAGCTGGGCGCTGAACAACATTTCGCTTGCCGACTTTGGCCAGGCCTCCAGTCACGATGCTGTCGTATTTGCCGATGAGGGCATGATCCGGCCGAGCGTGGATAGCTCGGGCATTGTGGGCTTTCTGGGACGGCTCGACTTTTTCGCCCGCGGCGTCATCCAGGACATGCTCGACAGGGTGAGCAGAGCCGTCGAGGCTGCAGAGAGGGTCTTGACTCCAATCGACGACAACGCCCACACCTTGATCAGCAACCTCGTCAAGCAGAAGAGGAAGCTGAAGAGCGAGGCCGGGTCCTACATGGCCGTCGTGGCCGAGGCCGATGATCCGAGCTGTGTCGTCCTCCGCCTTGGTAGTGCGGACGTCAAGAAGCTGGCCATCGACCTCACCTCCAAGTGGAAAGAGGATCTGCGCCTCGCTGTCCTGGAGGCTCTCAGCTTGACTTCCCCGATGATGGCAGGCCCGATCCAGACACCAACAACGAGTTCTTTAGCTCGTTGACCCAGTCCCAGCTCCATCGCGTGATGCGGTCCAGGCTCACTGTCGCCGTTCGCCAGCTCCAGATCACCGTCAAGTCCGACAACATCCAGTCCGAGCTCGTCACCAGCCTGGCAACGACGCTCGCGGACTTTCTTCACCTCGTCCTCACCAACCACATCACGAGGCCCGAGAGCCGGGAGCAGCTGGTCAGCAGCCTCGAGGACAGCATCCAGCTCGTCGCAGTCCGCCTCGTGCAGAAGCTCATCAAGACCGAGCCGATCCTCTCCAGGGACCCCAACGCGATCAATAAGGTCGGTGGCCCGCTTGCAAAGCTTGTCGAGAAGATCGTGCACGGCGCCAAGTCAATGACGTGGGAGTCGCTGCGGAAGAGCATGGAAGACGTCCTCGTCAACGTCCTCGTCTCGCAGCCGGACGGCCTGAATCGTGACAAGGACTTGCTCGTGCTGCCCAAGTCGACTCTGATGAGCACCTCGGCGTTCCGCCACAACCTCTCGCTCCTGTCTCGCCTCATTTTCACCGTCTTCCGCCCGCGCGCCATTGACGCCACGGTCTCGGACTTGAAGGACTCGACGCTCCACAGGGTCGACTCGTTTCTCCTCGATTCCTTTGTGACCAAGATCCTCTGGGACAAGACGCGCAGAGTGGTGATGACCGATCAGTGTGCCGAGTTTGTCCGGAGCATCATGGGCAAGATCAACTCGGTCAAGGCCAGCCTCACCATCTCGCTGAGCGAGCCGAGCAATTTCGGCCGCCGCTTTGGCGCCCCGCTCGTCGCAGCCTGTCATCGCAGCCGGGTCTGCGACTTGGTTGAGAGCCACAGTGAGCTCGACAGCGGCTCGCTCTCTTTTGCCATCGGAGACAGCATCCTCGAGCCGCCCACGACGCTCATGGGTGCGGAGGAAGCCGATGCCGTGCTGCGCGCCGCCCTTGGCCCGGAGCCCATCCCGAGCATCAGCGAGGTGGACGTGACCGTCACGCTCGCTAAGCTCTCTTCCGTCCCCCGCCTGGCAATCGTGTCATTGGCGCCTGGGTGCGGACCATCGCCACGTCGTCGCCCGACGTGAGCAAGCCGTTCATCACCGACGATCTGCATCTCCACGTTGCCCGCCTCCTCGGAAACGGCGATGACGCGACGATCACGTCGCTGAAAGAGCTTCATTTGGCCCTCATGCCCAGTGGGACCAGCGTCGACGAGCTGGCGTCGTCCGAAGCCGCCGATGTTCTCCTGAGGTTCCTCTCGTGGATGCTCCGTGTTCGCTTTGCCGTCGTCGCTGTCAGCAGCAAGCCCGAGGTTGTCCACATTGTCCCGAGCGTCGAAACCGGCGCTCCTGAGCCGCTCGTTGTCAGTGATCTTCATCCGTATGTGCTCTTCTACATCGCGCCGCTCCGACGTGGCCGGCATAGCTCAGACGGAGACAAGGAATTGGCCGGCTGGAGCAGCCTCACGCTCACCGATGACTATCGCATGCCCCTCGGCTCGCGCCGCGGTATGCCCGCCGCCAGCGATGGTTTTCAGCCGACGACGCATCCTGGCAAGCGCCGGCGTGCCGACGATGACGGCATCGAGCTCGAGAGCGGCGGTCTGGAGGCCATGGTCGTGTCCGATAGCGACGACGCTGGCGTCGCCGGGCCATCGACGGCTAGCCACGTGCTGACCGCTCCTCCACCGGCCAAGGTGGCGCGCACCACCTCGCGCTCAGCGGACATGACCGCCATGTTCCCTCCGCCCACCCGCCACGAGCTCAAGCCGATCACCCTCCACCAGTTTCGGCAGACCTACCTCCGGGCGAGGTCGCTCGCCCAGTACCAGGCCGTCAAGACCAAAGATCACCTGAATGTCAAGATCACCATGCCTGCCGCTATGTCCGGGCCGTGCCAGACCGTCACGCTCTCTTCATCCGACTTTGACGAGGTCGCCGCAACCTCGCTCATCTTCGTCTCGGGCGCCGCTCGTGTCCTGAGCAACGAGTGCAAGATCTTGCAGCCGCCCACCAAGCCGCACACCCGCATCTGCCAGGACTCCCAGGAGCAGATGTTTCAGGAAGACCGCGTCTATGACCACGATCTGGCCGGTGACGATCGCGTGTACTACGACGAGGGCGTACTGCTGGTGTGCGATGGCGTGACAGGCGACGTGGCCCACGAGGCAGAGTTCGTCTCGGGCAAGATCGTCTCGTCCAGCATGGTGGTGGGCATGGAGGGCTTCCGCAGATTGGGACAGTGGGATATCACGAGCCAGTTGGAGCTGCCCAAGCTCGCCTGGCATTTCACCATCATGGCCTCCTTGTGGGCCAAGCCGGTCATCCAGCGCATGCTCCTGGCCAAGCGGTTCAACACGGCGGCGCTCAACCCGCAGGATCCCATGGTGCGCAAGCAGGCCGAGCAGCAGTGGCAGGAGATGACAATCGCCTTGCCCAATGCAGTTGAGGCGACTCGGAACAGCGAGCTGCAGCAGAAAGTGACTCATCAGCCGACCACGTTCAAGATCAAGAGACAGCCGAGCTCGTCGTCCACCCTCCTCACCGCGGCCATCACCGGGACCAAACTTTCGGTCTTTGTGGCTGGCGACTCGCGGCTGATGGTGATCCGCTGGAACGAGACGACGAGGCAGTTTGAGCCGGCGAGCAGGCAGAGCATCACGCCCGAGCTGCTGGTGAAAGAGCCTGGCAGAGACCGCATGATCCCATCGCAGCTGTGGTTCCAGCTCCGCTCGCAAGACGGCACTGAGCTGCGCAACAGGCACGTGTCACACGTGGCCAAAGTCCCGGGCCACAGCAAGTTTCACTGCGACATCCAGGTCGGTGACATTGTCATCGCAGGATCGGACGGCGTGTGGGCCAAGAACAAAGTCCAGAGGAGTGCGCTCTTCGAGGGCAAGGCGCCGAAGAAGAGCGCCCCTCGCCATTGGCCCGATGGCAACCTGAGGTCGTACACCAGGTGGTTTGTTGGCGAGCAGCCATCTCGTGCCCTCCTGGCAGCGCTCAAGCAGCTCAAGGAGACTGGGGAGGAGCCCATCACCGCTCAGAGCATCCTTGCCGCCATCTGGCCGCTGGCCATGGAGGCGCGCAATAACTCGTCCAAAAAGGACGATGCCTCTCTGGCGGTCATGATCGTCGGCAAGAAGGCTGTCGGTCAGCCCGTTCACATCATCAAGCGGGAAGTCGACGACAACGGCCGCATCGAGAACAGCCACCTCGCACCATCATCATAAAGTAGTAACACATCGCAACGAGCCGGGGATGGCTGGCTGGCCGACCGGCGCTGGGCAGGCGGAGAGGCTGGACCATTGTCCGCGGAGACAGACCGGATGATGATCGGCCGGGAGAGGGTGGTTGGCCGATACGTCGTCGACATGAAGGTAGTGCAAGGTGATCGGGCCGCTCAAGCTTCCCCATCGCCGTCCATCAACCCCCCCCCCCCCCCCCCCCCCCCCATCACCATGAGTCGAGCCCTCCCATCGCCATGACCCGTCGTCACGAGCTCGCTTGAAGAGAGGCGCGGGCACAGATCGGAACAACCAAGCCACACCGGACAACCAGTTGAAACCAGGATACATCCCTGGAGGAGGGGGGGAGTAGTTAGCTGGGCAGAGAGACAGAGGCGCTGCCGCTGGCTGTGGCGCGCGCGATCCGCCCGCTGACAACACCGATGCGTGGTCTCACCTCGCCTCTGTGCCTTCTCAAGGTCCGTCGCGGTTGAGCGGCGCTCTTGCTATTCTCCTTCATTCTTTATCCCACCGCCAGCCGAGCGGTCAGCGGCCGGCGGCATTGGTCCGATCGCCGAATAGCGACGGCGGCAGCTGCATCAGCGCCACCACACCATCGCCTTTGAGTCTACGAGGATCGGCGCGGTATCGACCACCGATGCTGTGGCGGCAACGTCATTATTGGGCATCACTGCCGTTGGTAGCATGGCGAGCGGTAGCCACAGCGAAAGGAACTGCGCGGAGCTGACGACGACGACGACGACGACGACGACGCGGTGTGATCAAACGCGCAGTCGAAGCGGCCGCAGCGGCTGCCGTAGCGACAGCGGCGGCGGATTGGGTCCTGGATGAGGCGCCAGACATGGGCGGTCTTCTCGTCGTCGTCGCCGCAGACATCCAGCAGCGCGTTGTGGACGCGCGTGCCCAGGGCGATGTCGCGGGCGTGGTAGCTCGCCCACAAGGCGGCCGAGGCGACGTGATGGTTGAGACAGCCGTCTGTGATGGCAGCGTCTACGTAGCGGGTGATGCGGGCGACGCGCACAGGCTTGGCGTTGGCAAACGTGCGCAGCATGACGCAGTATGCCTGCGGGCTCGGTTTCAGCTTGGCTGCAGCCATGGCGGCCCAGACGGCCTCGGCACCCTCGGCACGCGCAGCGGGCGAGCTGGCGTGGTTGTTGCGATGGGCCTTGATGAGGGTGACAAAGGCGTAGATGTTGGGCGTGAGGCCGGCGGCGGTTATGCGTGCCAGGGTATGCTCGGCGGCAGAGACATCGCCAACTCGGGCGTGGGCCTCCATCAGCGAGGTAAAGGTGACGACGTCGGGCGTGAGACCTGCGGCGAGGAGCTCGTCCATCAGCGCCTCGGCACGCTCGGGCTGCCGCGCTGCGGCGTAGCCGGCTATGATGGTGCCGTAAGTCTTTGCGTTGGGCGCGACGCCCGCGGCAAGCATCCGGTCAAGCACCTGGGAGGCAGCAGCCGGCGATCGGGCCCGGACGTGAGCCTTGGCCAGCGCCGACCAGGCGATGACGTCCGGGACAAGACCGGAAGCGAGCATGCGGGCAAGGATGGCTTCTGCCGTATGGGCGTCACTGGCGTTGGCGCTGGCGTTGATGGCGGTGCCGTATGCTGTCGCATCGCCGGGCACCCCGCTTGCCTCCATGGCATCGAGCCAGCTGAGGGCGACGTCGACCTTGCGCTCGGCCATGGCCGCCTTGATCATCAGCCCGTACGTCGCGGTGTTGGGCGCGATGCCGAGCGAGGGCATGGTGATGTTGACGACGTCAGCTGCGCACTGGGGCTCGCCGGCGGCGATGTATGCCGCGGCGAGCGTGGTGAGGCTCACCACGGTCGGCGCAACGCCTGCCGTCTCCATCAGCTCCAGAACGCCCAGCGCGTCTTCGGCCCGTCCGGCCTGGGCGTAGCCGTCCATGACGATGTTGAAGGCGACGACGTGGGGCGTGATGCCCATGGCCGGCAAGAGCCGCCCAACCATGTCCTCGGCACCCGCTACGTCGCCGGCTGCCACGCGCTCCTTGATAAGCGCCACATGGTCGACCGCGTCGTCCGCCGCCTCGGCGTCCCCGACCCCGCCGTGGTGCTCCAGCGCCTGGGCGTACTCTAGCTGCGAGGCCATGTCGTACGCACCAATGGGAAGCGTAGCAGAAGTGGTAGCCGAGTTGGTGAAGCGGTTCATGCTCGTCTTGGCTCTGTGAGTAGTTCTGGCGGTCTGCAAGAGGTGTGTGTAGTTCTGCCCTCGCTCTCCTCTAAAAAGCCGTCGCTCCGGTTTTTGTGCCGCGAAAATACTGTGACATTTGGAAAGTGCAGTTGGGTTTGTGCAAGTGGCACGGGATGGGCGATGGAGGACGGCGATGGACATAGGGATTCAAGGAACTTGTAGAGGAGGCTGTGGGCGTGATGATGACGAGGGTGGCGATGGATGCTGGCGGTTGTGGCGGGTAGAAGAAGTGCGCTGTGTCTGTGTATGTAATGTCACACTCGGGCGGTGTGTAGTGGCCGAATGCGACAGAGTCGCAATCGAGGGGAGGAGAGGGCGCAGGCGGGATCTCGAGGGAGTGGCTGGTGTGGGGGTGTGGGGTGGTCCCAGGCCTCATTTGGGTTCCAAGTAGTGGTACGCACTTGATAGCGGCCTACGATTAATCCAACAACAGACTACGATTATTACGAACGAACGATTAATCCAACAACAGACTACGATTATTACGAACCAAAAAGGGTACACAAACGTTCTGCTCGTGGTGCGCCAAAGACAGTGTGCCCCGGCCGATGGCACACCGCCGCATACTCCTCTCCCGCCCCCATCCCTCACATCCACACCGCCAATCCCCAGTCCCATGCCGCTCGACCTGCTTCCACGCGAGATAGTGGCGTACATCGGCCGCTGGCTGCCGGCCCGCGACGCGGTGGCGCTGGCCTCGACCTGCCGGACACTCCACCGAGCTGTGCTGGGCAACCCGATCACCGCCGCCCACATCCAGGCCCACATCGGCTACGCGGGCTGTGTCAAGCACGGCCTCTGGCGAGCTGCCCTCCGCGCCCTCCGCTGCAGGTCGCGCCACGGGGGGCTGGCCGGCCGCATCGCCACCGCCCCGGCCGCCCTGCTGCTGCCCATTGTCATCGGCTTTGGCCGCGATGCAGGGAGCGACGACGAGGACAGTCATCTCGCCCGCGAGCTGCTGCTCAGAGAGCTACAATCGATGGACCTGCGGTGCGCGGTGCGCGGCAAGAAGGAGGAGCTCGCGCTGCGTGACATGCCCTCGATCGCAAGCGTGGCAACGGTGTCGCTCCCTGTGGCGACGGTGGCCATCTTGCAAGGCGAAGCTGTGGCGGCCGAGATGCTCATGCGGTGCAAGCCGATGGGTACCAACGACGCCAACGTTGCTGTCATTTTCGCGGCCAGGCGCGGCCTGGGCAGCATTGTCCGCATCATCATCGAGACGTGTGCGCCAGAGGAGCCCTTTATCGCCGACGCCGTCTCGGCCGGGCAGCGGTACCCGGCGGTGATCGAGGCGGTCATGACCGCAACCGCAACGAGCTATGAGCTGGAGATGACCTGTGCCCAAAGCATCGGACGGGCCGACAACGTCGACGGTGTGGCGATCGTCCTCGGCGGCGGGCGGGTGGCGTCAGCGTCGGCTCTGGCCAGGGTGATGTTGGCGGCGACGGGCTCGCCAGCGGTCATCACCGCAGTTCTCGACCACGAGAGCGTGGATGCGGCGGCAGTCGGGCGCGTAGCACTCGAGAGCTTTGTCAAGGATCGGTCGCGAAATGTGCTCATCGGCGCTCTCATTGCTGACGAGCGCATCGACCTCAGCGGGCTGGGCAACAAGATGCTGAGGAACGCGGTGCTGGGCCGCCACGAGACGCTCGTGGAGATGCTGATAGCGATGGACAGCGAGCGGATCCAGCTGACGACGCCGCACAAGGCGGAGCTCGGGATGCTTGTAGCGTGGGCGACGCCGGAGATGACGACGCGCATACTGGCGCACCACACCGTGGGTGCGACGGCAGTGAGCACGATGGTCTGTGAGGCGGCGATGCGCGGGCGGGAGACAATGGTGCATGCGCTGCTGGCGTACACAGAGAGCGCGGGGATGGCAGCGGCGATTGATATCGGAGCGGCGTTCCGGCTGGCGTGCAAAGAGGGCCAGGTGGCGGTGGTGGCGGCTCTGATGAGCGACGGACGCATCGGGCACCAGGAGCGGCTGGTGGCGCTGCGGCTGGCGGCATGCAACAGACAAGCTGGCGCAGTGGCGGCATTGCTGGACGGCGGCGTGTCGCCCCTGCCGATTCTCGACGAGAGCGTGGCCATTGCCATCCAGCACGGACACAGTGCAGTGCTCGCGGCGATCATCAGCGATGAGCGGGTGGCCAACCCGGTGGCGATGGTGGCAGCGGCGGTCCGGCGGGCAACGCGGGTGATGGATCCGGCGGAGAAGCCGAGGTACAGTCTGCGGTGGGACAAGGTCAAGTGCATGCTCGCCGAGCACCCGCGGATCAGCCCAGAGGGCTACATGACGATTGTACGGGCGGCGGGGACGTGGTGGTAAACGGCAGCGATGGCGATGACGATGGCGATGGGCGACAGCTACCACTCGATGGGCGAGCCGTCGTAGGCGAGGAAGGAGCCCGAGAGCGAGGGCTCGGCGTCCGCGATGCGGGCGAGGATGTTGTCGGCGGCGTCGGCGGCGGGCAGTACGCCCGGATGGTCGGGGGAGCGGAAGGGGGCAGAGAGCGGAGTGGCGACGGTGCCCGGGTGGATGGCGAGGACGGTGGCGGCCGGCCGCGATCGGCGCCACTCGATGGCGAGCGTCCGCATGAGCATGTTGGCGGCGGCCTTGGAGGCGCGATAGGCGTACCACCCGCCGAGCCCGTTGTCGCCGATGGAGCCGACGCGGGCGGTGAGAGTCGCCCACACCGCATGCCGATCCCGCCGCGGAACGAGCTTCTCCAGGGCGGCGGCGGCGAGGATGGGCCCGAACCCGTTGACTGCCATGGCTGCCGTCAGCGAGTCGCGGGAGACGTCAGCCAGCCGGCGCTCGGGCCCGGCAGGCTCGCCCGGCGGGGCATGGCGGCGGTGGAGGAGCCCCGCGGCGTAGATGACGAGGTCGAGCTGTGGCGTGTGCGCAGAGACGGCCGGGGCGAGGGCGGCCAGCGATGCGTCGCTCGTCACGTCGAGGTCGATGACCGCCGCCGCGCCGGGAATGGGCTCGACCGGACGGGA